TACATTATCTCTATCTTGAGGGTTACTATTTGATGTTAGATTAATCGTTCTTCCGTACTTTCTAATTTGTGCATTATCTGGTGGCCACGAATCACCAACGATGGGTTGAAGAACAAGAGTGATAAAACGGGAGCTCGGCTACTATCAAAATTATGAATTAGTTATTAAAATTGTTAAGAAAAACAAAGATATAAAAAATTTACCTTAAGATTATCATAAGCCACCTGAATCATTTGTTTCAGGTTTACGATGTCTTTAGCATACATAATCAAGTAAGGTGCCCAAATTACGTCAAATTCTCCAAGTTTACCTATATCAACAACATCTTTTACTATATATTTGATTTTTGACCACCAGTTTCTTCTTCAATTTTTTTTCCGATATTGATCATTTCAGAAGAAATGTCGACTCTTATTACACTTTCAGCACCTAGTTCAACGGCTATTCTACAAAATGGTCCAGTTCCACAAGCGAGAACTAACACAGTTTTTCCCTTTAACGATTCATAAGGGAGAAGTGATATTATTGTATACATTTCGAAGGCAGCGTATACATCATTATCATTTTGACGTACTTTATGATATTTTTTGGAGATATCATCAAATCGAGAAGCCATTATGCAAGAAACTTTTTTTAAATTACTCTAGCTGTTTTATGCTTATTTATAATTAAATATAGTAGGACAGTATATAATATTACTAATAGTTCATGCTTGTAGTCGACTTGATTAAGCTGGTATTTAAAAGTTGGCTTAGCCGACTTTTCAAGTTTGATTGATCTTATCGTTATTGTGTGGTGATGTTATCGTTATGCCAGAAATGAAAATAGAAATTTAATAATTTTCTTATTCCTATTTTGTATCTTATTTTGTTTGTACTATGAGATCAGTAAGCCACATAGGTTGTGGGGTTCGGTAACAATTATGTTCTAATATAATTTAATATTATTTGTATAATTATTTTCGTAGTACTATTTATCTTAACAAAAACCCAATTTTAGTATACATTAAACATCGTCTCTCTATAATAGCAATATTAAAGTACCCTTATAAGTAATAAACTGACCATAAATAATGAAATAAAAT